TAGCGAGCAATTTAACCTGAAGATAATTCTTGCACTTACTTTCTGGACGTCACCAATAACATTGCAGTAAGAGTCAAAAGGCTCCGGTGTCTTAAGAGTCATGGCAATCTTAGCAGTGTATGACGATTGAGGTTCCATTATGTTTTGGTACCAAACAGATTTTCAATTTGTAATCTTAAGCAAACAACTGTAACACTTTTTATCCTCAGTCCCAAAATAAAATCACAATGTAGAAGAAAACAGAGTGACCAGCAGAGAGCTTATTCATGTCTTAGAGAGTACCAAGGCACCTGAGTGAGGCTTCACTACAGGTTTCAAGATACACTATCACTTACCACAGGATATGGGTTTCCTGTGTTGTTTAAGGGACACTACTGCTATCCTCTCAGGCTAGTGAGGGGCTCTTGATCCTATGTATATACCTTTGATGAGTTCCGAGAGTCTTTCTATTCCCGGAGCCTGGCCATGGGCCAGGTTCGTCTGGTGCTTGCCTGGTCAACCAGGCTGTTATTGCTAGCTCCCTTTCCATGGATCAAATCTCATAACTGCCCATTCTCCCAGGTGCTGTATGACCCCTATGGGTCTAGCACATACTGTATATATTGCTAGCCTATTAATCATTACCATATACAGTTTCTATGCTAAAATGAAAACTGGTCTTGTATATCTTAGATTATAATTTACATACAAATAACCCGCACATAGGAGACGGGAGTTTACGATGACGTTTCGGTCCGGCTTGGACCATTTACAAAGTCACACTAAGAGAAACGAGAGTAGGAGGCAGTATATATAGGCAAGCAGACAGGGATGGGACAAGGGAGGTAGAAGGAAAGGAAGTAGAGAGGTAGAGGTAGTAGTAGAGTCAGTCAAAGACTAAGAAAGAGGAGCACTCCAATGAACACACATATGCTGCCATATAGTGTACCAACTTTTCAGTTTTACAAACATGTATCTGCCACTTCATCTCTGATCAGCAAAAGATTTGAGACTATGTGTCTCAGTCTCCATTACAGCACAGTTATTAACCACTCAGCCATGACCATATATAAAATACTGCTTCTATACATGCATATATGATTTAACAGAAATGAACTGTATTTATATGTATTTCTGTCCTCACAGAGAGCAAAATACATACATTCGAACTCTCCCTGCTGGTCTGAGATAAATGTTTGTAAATAGCTTACACCTGTTATAATGGATTATTAGATAATATATATATATATATATATATATATATATTTTAACAAGTCGGCCGTCTCCCACCGAGGCAGGGTGACCCAAAAAAGAAAGAAAATCCCCAAAAAGAAAATGCTTTCATCATCATTCAACACTTTCACCACACTCACACATAATCACTGTTTTTGCAGAGGTGCTCAGAATACAACAGTTTAGAAGCATATACGTATAAAGATACACAACATATCCCTCCAAACTGCCAATATCCCAAACCCCTCCTTTAAAGTGCAGGCATTGTACTTCCCATTTCCAGGACTCAAGTCCGACTGTATGAAAATAACCGGTTTCCCTGAATCCCTTCACTAAATATTACCCTGCTCACACTCCAACAGATCGTCAGGTCCCAAGTATCATTCGTCTCCATTCACTCCTATCTAACACGCTCATGCACGCTTGCTGGAAGTCCAAGCCCCTCACCCACAAAACCTCCTTTACCCCCTCTTTCCAACCCTTTCGAGGACGACCCCTACCCCTCCTTACTTCCCCTATAGATTTATATGCTTTCCATGTCATTCTACTTTGATCCATTCTCTCTAAATGACCAAACCACCTCAACAACCCCTCTTCTGCCCTCTGATTAATGCTTTTATTAACTCCACACCTCCGAATTTTCTGCATAATATTTACACCACACATTGCCCTTAAACAGGACATCTCCACTGCCTCCAACCGTCTCCTCGCTGCTGCATTTACCACCCAAGCTTCACATCCATATAAGAGTGTTGGCACTACTATACTTTCATACATTCCCTTCTTTGCCTCCATAGATAACGTTTTTTGACTCCACATATACCTCAATGCACCACTCACCTTTTTTCCCTCATCAATTCTATGATTAACCTCATCCTTCATAAATCCATCCGCCGACACGTCAACTCCCAAGTATCTGAAAACATTCACTTCTTCCATACTCCTCCTCCCCAATTTGATATCCAATTTTTCTTTATCTGAATCATTTGATACCCTCATCACCTTACTCTTTTCTATGTTCACTTTCAACTTTCTACCTTTACACACATTCTCAAACTCATCCACTAACCTTTGCAATTTTTCTTTAGAATCTCCCGTAAACACAGTATCATCAGCAAAAAGTAACTGCGTCAATTCCCATTTTGAATTTGATTCCCCATAATTTAACCCCACCCCTCTCCCAAACACCCTAGCATTTACTTCTTTTACAACTCCATCTATAAATATATTAAACAACCATGGTGACATTACACATCCCTGTCTAAGACCTACTTTTACCGGGAAGTATTTTCCCTCTCTTCTACACACCCTAACCTGAGCCTCACTATCCTCGTAAAAACTCTTAACAGCATTTAGTAACTTACCACCTATTCCATATACTTGCAACATCTGCCACATTGCTCCTCTATCCACTCTATCATATGCCTTTTCTAAATCCATAAATGCAATAAAAACTTCCCTACCTTTATCTAAATACTGTTCACATATATGCTTCAATGTAAACACTTGATCTACACATCCCCTACCCACTCTGAAGCCTCCCTGCTCATCCGCAATCCTACATTCTGTCTTACCTCTAATTCTTTCAATTATAACCCTACCGTATACTTTTCCTGGTATACTCAGTAAACTTATTCCTCTATAATTTTTACAATCTCTTTTGTCCCCTTTCCCTTTATATAAAGGGACTATACATGCTCTCTGCCAATCCCTAGGTACCTTCCCTCTTTCATACATTTATTAAACAAAAGTACCAACCACTCCAACACTATATCCCCCCCCTGCTTTTAACATTTCTGTCATGATCCCATCAGTTCCAGCTACTTTACCCCCTTTCATTCTACGTAATGCCTCACGTACCTCCACCACACTTACATTCTGCTCTTCTTCACTCCTAAAAATGGTATACCTCCCTGACCAGTGCATGAAATTACCACCTCCCTTTCTTCCTCAACATTTAAAAGTTCTTCAAAATATTCTCGCCATCTACCTAATACCTCCCTCTCCCCATCTACTAACTCCCCTACTCTGTTTTTAACTGACAAATCCATACTTTCCCTAGGCTTTCTTAACTTGTTTAACTCACTCCAAAATTTTTCTATTTTCATTAAAATTTCTTGACAGTGTCTCTCCCACTCTATCATCTGCTTTCCTTTTGCACTCTCTCACCACTCTCTTCACCTTCTTTTACTCTCCATATACTCTGCTCTTCTTATAACACTTCTGCTTTGTAAAAACCTCTCATAAGCTACCTTTTTCTCTTTTATCACACCCTTTACTTCATCATTCCACCAGTCACTCCTCTTTCCTCCTGCCCCCACCCTCCTATAACCACAAACTCTGCCCCACATTCTAATACTGCATTTTTAAAACTATTCCAACCCTCTTCAACCCCCCCACTACTCATCTTTGCACTAGCCCACCTTTCTGCCAATAGTCGCTTATATCTCACGCGAACTTCCTCCTCCCTTAGTTTATACACTTTCACCTCCCTCTTGTTGTTGCCACCTTCCTCTTTTCCCATCTACCTCTTACTCTAACTGTAGCTACAACTAAATAATGATCCAATATATCAGTTGCCCCTCTATAAACATGTACATCTTGGAGCCTACCCATCAACCTTTTATCCACCAATACATAATCTAACAAACTACTTTCATTACGTGCTACATCATACCTTGTATATTTATTTATCCTCTTTTTCATAAAATATGTATTACTTATTACCAATTTCTTTCTACACATAGCTCAATTAAAGGCTCCCCATTTACATTTACCCCTGGCACCCCAAATTTACCTACTACTCCCTCCATAACATTTTTACCCACTTTAGCATTGAAATCCCCAACCACCATTACTCTCACACTTGATTCAAAACTCCCCACGCATTCACTCAACATATCCCAGAATCTCTCTCTCTCCTCTACACTTCTCCCCTTCTCCAGGTGCATACACGCTTATTATAACCCACTTTTCACATCCAATCTTTATTTTACTCCACATAATCCTTGAATTTATACATTTGTAGTCCCTCTTTTCCTGCCACAGCTTATCCTTCATCATTATTGCTACTCCTTCTTTAGCTCTAACTCTATTTGAAACCCCTGACCTAATCCCATTTATTTCTCTCCATTGAAACTCTCCCACCCCCTTCAGCTTTGTTTCACTTAAAGCCAGGACATCCTGGAGTTTACCTGGAGAGAGTTTCGGGGGTCAACGCCCCCGCGGCCCGGTCTGTGACCAGGCCAGTTTCTTCTCATTCATAACATCCACAATCATCTCTTTCTTATCATTTGCACAACATCCACGCACATTCAGACTTCCCACTTTGACAATTTTCTTCTTCTTATATATATATATATATATATATATATATATATAAAATATATATTATATATATAAAATATATATATATATAATATATAATAATAATAATTAATAATAATAATGAAAAAAATAAATAATAATAATAATAATAATAAAAAATTTTAGAAACCTGACAGGCCATGAGCTTGCTCAGCCTCCTTCCCTTACATACAATATAGAGTAACATGGGTAATGACTCATGAAATTGCAGTAACACAATTGCAAACAAACCACAGAACAGTAGGGTTTAAACCCATGGTTAACGCACTGGCCTGTTAGTTTGAGGATTCACTTACCATGGGTTCACACGTCACCCGTTCTCTGATGTAACACAAGTAATCACTGTTATCAGTGATTCCTTCTGCCCCTTACCATTACTCCTCATAGCAGCATCCTAGATAAGTAACTTCTCAGTATCTTACCTTTGATATCTGCAATCCCTGAGCTGTAGCATTGTATCTCTCCACCCAAGCCTCTAATGTTTCATTATCTACTAAGTGACTTTGTAATCTGTTTACCGTCTTCCTCAAAGTCGATACTTCCTGAAAATATAAAGCATAATATTACACTTATAGAGTGATGTGTGGAGCTACATTATGACTGCCAGAGTAAACTAGAATTTACTGCAAGAAAAGACACTGATTTTAATTCTTTCAGAGTTAATTCAGTGCATGACTAAGGCTAAATAGTCTATTGCTTATTACAAAAAAAAAAAAAAAAACTTGATAACAGACCTCACACTTCTTAAATATCTCTTCTTTCATTTCTTTTTCCTGTGCTTCCTCTTCATGCTTTTCTTCTTGTTCTTCTTGACAATCTTTCATCTCTTCTTCTATGTCTTCATTATCATCTTCCTCTTCTTCTTCTTCCTCCTCCTCCTCTTCCTCCACTTCTTCTTCTTCTTCATCTTGGGTCCCACTGTCATTAACTTCAGGTTCCTCAACACTCTCAATATAGAGGTCCTCCTGGCAAGTGTTAGATTCTGGAGTGAGTTCTGTCTTGCAGTCTAACGTTACCAGATCCTGACACTGCTCGTGACACGTGTAACTGCAATCTGATCAAATAAAAAAGTTAATCACGTATGTATATTTTTTTAAAACAGTGGCTGTCTCCCACCGAGGCAGTGTGACCCGAAAAAGAAAAACTTTCCCCATCATTCACATTATCACTGTCTTGCCAGAGGTGCACAGATATGACAGTTTACAAGTCCCTCTAAACAACAAATATTCCAAACCCCTCTTTTAGAGTGCAGTCTTCCCAACTCCAGGATTCAAGTCTGGCGAACCAGTTTTCCAGAATCCCTTCACAAAATATTACCCTTCTCACACTCCAACAGCTCATCAAGTCCCAAAAACCACTTGTCTCCACTCCTATCTAACATGCTCATATATATATATATATATATATATATATATATATATATATATATATATATATATATATATTATATATATAAAATATATATATATTTTATATAGACACAGTGGGACATGCTATAAAGAACAGTTTGTATAATGAATATTTACATTATGAATGGTTTTCCAAAGAGGACAAGGAGAGATGACTCGAGTCTTTCCACCTCTTCTCAGTAATTATCTCCTCCTGTCTCCTGTACTGCATCCTCAACAACACTAAGGTACGATAAACTACATGATTTTTTATATTTTTGTACTTATTTATTATTTTTTGTACAAGTATTAATGATACTCTATATTTCAGGAGTTTAACTGCACATTTATGCATTTTTTATAATTTTATTTTATATTTTTTCATTGTTAAGTGATTGTATTTGGGGCCTGGAATGGATAACCCTTATAACAAATGAATGCTATACTGAATGAGGTTCCGGAACCAATTAGATTCGTTATAGCACACCCCATTCTCTCTCTCTCTCTCTCTCTCTCTCTCTATATATATTATATATATATATATATATATATTATATATAATATATATATATATATATATATATATAAAATGCAATACAATCACAAACAGGTGATCTTAATGCAGAACAAGCCACACGGGAATGTAAATCTTAAATACTTGATCTTTCACATGTGCATCGTCAGGAGCTATGCAATGTTGCAAGACAGCAACAGATAAGAGGGAAAATTCTTTGAGGTAAGGCAGAAGGTATCAGTGGTGGCCCATAACACAGAGTGCACTCTGAATAAACAGAGTAATGGATAGAGACTCATGACTGTGGTTGTGGCAGGCAGCATGTCATACCTGGAGTTTACCTGGAGAGAGTTTCGGGGGTCAACGCCCCCGCGGCCCGGTCTGTGACCAGGCCTCCTGGTGGATCAGCGCCTGATCAACCAGGCTGTTGCTGCTGGCTGCACGCAAACCAACGTACGAGCCACAGCCCGGCTGATCAGGAACTGCCTTTAGGTGCTTGTCCAGTGCCAGCTTGAAGACTGCCAGGGGTCTGTTGGTAATCCCCCTTATGTGTGCTGGGAGGCAGTTGAACAGTCTCGGGCCCCTGACACTTATTGTATGGTCTCTTAACGTGCTAGTGACACCCTGCTTTTCATTGGGGGATGGTGCATCGTCTGCCAAGTCTTTTGCTTTCGTAGTGAGTGATTTTCGTGTGCAAGTTCGTACTAGTCCCTCTAGGATTTTCCAGGTGTATATAATCATGTATCTCTCCCTCCTGCGTTCCAGGGAATACAGGTTTAGAAACCTCAAGCGCTCCCAGTAATTGAGGTGTTTTATCTCCGTTATGCGCGCCGTGAAAGTTCTCTGTACATTTTCTAGGTCGGCAATTTCACCTGCCTTGAAAGGTGCTGTTAGAGTGCAGCAATATTCCAGCCTAGATAGAACAAGTGACCTGAGAGTGTCATCATGGGCTTGGCCTCCCTATTTTTTGAAGGTTCTCATTATCCATCCTGTCATTTTTCTAGCAGATGCGATTGATAC